ACCACAACTGTTTAGCACACGTTTGGTCAAAGGATCGGCTTTACTTGTCTCTGACGAGTTGTTGAATGGTGCTAAGAATGGCGAGATTCACTGATGATGCCGGCGAAACGTCTGGGAATGTACCACGTCTACGGTTCAACTTTGGATATGATCATGCAGACAATAGACCCCGGACTAGGCGCGTTCCAATAAGTCTTCCTACCAATATGACCATGTTGCGAAAACAAGGTCAAACAACCTCTTATGACTAGTAAAGTTTTCCCTATTATCATATCTTACGTTTAACGATATTGTCACCCAGAGTGGACTACAGTTTCGACTTCACCTACCTCATCACTCTCGATAACCTACTTATTAGAGAAAAATTCTAATTCAGTTATTTTCTACCATGAATGTCTTTTAGATGCAATATCCTAAGTCCTGTTGTTTCATATCTTTTTTTATTGAATTCCCTTCACATACCTTGTTTATAATATTTTTTACCATTGCCATCTATTATTGTTGGAATTAAGCCTTCATGCCAATTAATAAATTTATTTATATTTGTTTTCGCATCGCCTTTATCTTTGATCTCTTTTTATAGTCAAGAAGAAGAGTGGTTCCAACGTTCACAAATCGAAAATCGTGATTTTCGTGGTTGGTATTTCATACCTGCAAAGTCAAAGGGCCTACTTAAGGCCCGAAATTATGATGATTTTCTTAGAGAGTCAGCAACCGAAGTAGAACCGTAGTCAGGATTCTTTGGGAACTAACCTTTACAATCAGCCACTTAAACAAATATACATTAGCATTATTAATTTCTTACCTTTTATATGCTTTGATTTATTTATTTTACAACTCAGTTAAGACTAGGCTTTTCACATTTTTCTCGCCTGAACTTTACTGAGAACTTTATCACATTTATGAATAGGGGGACAACCTAAATTGTTTACCCTTTCAATAGTATCTAAATCATTTATTGGTTTATTTACATATACCTCTTTTCGTAAATACGTGCCGGGCCTGCTAAGTGGATCACTTTTATTTTCCAGATTCACTTGAGGAAAAGATTCAATTACTTTAAATAACCGGACTTCACGTATATAAAGTCAAGTTGTCAGGCTGTGGACCATTATTAAGATATAACTATGCTAGTGTTCTGAACTAAGTATTACTTAAGATCAACTGGACGAATGTGTATGAAAGCTTGAAATATTTGTTCTCAGCTTGCCTTTACTTTATATTTTAAAAGAAAACGTCTATTCCGCATCCAATACATTTTTCAGAATCTAGAGCTTATCGTAGCGCTTACAATCAGGGTTGATTTTATTACCGGGATATTCTGTCGATGTTTTCTTAAATATTATCGCAGAGCCTGGCTATGCACGGTCCGATTGAAAGGTTCTATTTTCATCATATTTACATCATTCATAGAACGATACAGGCCTTTTGCTACAGTTGACCTGATAGCCAGGTTTCTCTTTATATAGAACTTCACTGGGCTGAGTATAATAGGGAATATAACATTTATAAGTTGGACTATATGAACCATAACAACAAAAAATGCTCTAAAATTTGTTCTTCGCGAGAGCACATGAGCCTGAAGCTCCTGTTTGCGAAAATCCCACTGATACGATTAAATTCATCTGTTATTGATTAGTTTTTAAACCATATTTTGATCCTCCGAATACACCTTGTTGGAAAATATACAATTTGCAAATATAAGCTAAGGCCACACCATCTTGGTCTTTATACCTTCGAATAGGCTAATTTTATTAGGGTCACTTTGTAATAAATTGTTCCAGTCTTTTCTCATTGTATCGATTAGCCACTATTTTACATAATTACTGCTCTTATCATGATTCATTCACCGCAATTTAAACATACGAGCTTTCCTTTTGGATATCCCTGGCTGAAGTCAACACGTATCAGGCGCTTAATTACTATGGAGTGATAGTCCTAATGACACGATACCTTCGGCTAGACGGAGACTCTCTTACATCTTTTACATTTCGATCACCTCTGATCTTTATACGACACCACACGATTCTGTTGTATACTGGGTGTTTATAATTCGATCTCCTTTCTCCAATAATGTCGAGTATCCGTGCATCATAGCACAAAACGTATCTGGAATTAGATCGCAAAATCCTATCGTGGCGACTATATATAGGCAAAAAATTTCTAAGCAAGCAAACAATTCATAATCAGGTCGTTGGGGGTGCTCTCGATTCAGCAGAGATGGATAAGTACAACAATGTTTTGTCTAGAGAAATTTTGATGCGCTTATATCTATACTTAAACATTAATCGCTTGAAAGTGATAATCTCAACCCCCGATCTTATTTATAAAATATGATGTGATAAACTATAAGATATGTAAACTATACTTCAGAAAGAATATTTAATTTTAATGTGGTCTCTTATAGAACTAATTGATGGAGCCCAATTTAACTTTGACTCCGCTTCCGTTATGTTTTTAGCGGTCCTTCGTATCCAGTTGATATACCGCGGTGCACTGCCGAAGGCTTTCAGTTCTAAAGCTTAAAAGAATTCTATCTAGGAAAATTTCATATTGGATTCAATCAAGAAGATAACTTCTTCCGTACGTTAAGATAAGGAACTATTATCACGTTTAGTGATAGAATGGCATATCACAGATGGTAATCACCGGTTGATTGAACTAATTATCAGGAAAGCTCAGAGATCGCTGCTACTCAATGGCAAATAATTCGGCATTACTGTACCAAAAGTTAATGTACTTTGTTCTCGTTAGGAATGCCACTAAAACTTAAGCTGGTCTTGAACGGAAGGCTTCATGGGTAAAATTTGATCCCAGAGTGGGGCTCCTGCTAAGTGTGGGTAGCTCAATTAGAAGGACTTGGGTAAATAAATATGATCTGCAACCATACTATCCAAGATTGGATGGGCTTTCGGATTCATCTAATCATCGGAAGTCCTCATGTTGCAAGAACGCATGCCTCATTTTTATTATGGACCTTATTTTCTAATAAGGTGTCATAATGCATGAGCCGATGAAAATACTTTATTAAAAAATGACAGCGCAGTTCAGTGAGCATAGTTATGCTTCATGAGAGAATTGATGCGAAATATGCTGTCTTCGTTGAACTTAATCAAAAATGCGAGTGAGACTGGAAAATAATTGTATATTCAAGTTTATGCCTGCTCCCCTACAAGCGTGCCTCTGTCTTCGGGCAGGCTAAGGCTGTGTAGCAGAGAAAAGTGAATTTCTATTTCTTCATCCAGGCCATAGAGTACATTAGCTTAAGTGTACTGGAGATTCGCATGTCTATGGCTGAAATAGGTCTGGTTTAATCAAGTGAAAGAAGCTCTCAAAGGAGAGCTGGTGAGATTTACCTCGGTTATCGTGTGGTAAAGATTATGAGAGGGATCAAAGAAGGTCGTGAGAGCAATCTGAAGATGGAAAGAGGCAGTTTAATTCAGCCTTCAGCAGAGATACTCTACCGCAAGAATAAATAGCCATCTGCACCAAGTACTCAAATCATCGCTTTCTGCATACGTCTGTGGCTCATTTGCCTCGCAAGCCCATATTATTGGAGCTTATGCCTGCGATAAACCGCTCATCGTGCCTGCTGTCACGCTGCCAAGTGCGCTGAGACCTTGCCCTCCCGTAGACCTTCCACCTGTCCCTCCACTTGGACACGGCTTTCCGGCGAGTCCACTCTCTTTGAAGCTGATGCTTTGGCCACCAACAGCACGAGAATCACGTTCTTTTTTCAGAACTAGTGAAACTACCCGCTGATGCAGCTCCTCTCTCGAGAACGGCTTAATTATGTGTATCTCGGTTACTGAGGGAAAATGTGTGCAAAAAGGGAAAGAAGACTAGCAGCGTGAGAGTAAGTTAATCAAAGAATTTTTTATGTACGAGTAGACCAATTTCAACTTTAGATAATCAATAAGGAAAAGGCACAGGGTATTCTTGACTGAAGAAAATAGAGAACCCGGAGCCATTGTAGTAGGAAGATCCAATACTATCGTGTAAATGATTCACTATTATAGACAATCATATCTTGTTTCTAGTGGAAATAAGATTATACGAAAAGTAACTGTGTTATATGAAAAAATGCTATATGCCTTTAATGAGAGATCCAGTGGAAAGACTTAAGACTAGGTCAAGGGGTGCTCCAAAGTACGCGTAAGTAATGGTGAAATGGAGAAGTGGAAAATGAATTCACTACTCCAGAAAGATGAATGGGCCCCCACGGCTTACGGTCTTCCTAAGGAAGGAGTCTTGTAAGGTATGAAGACCAAGATGGTGTGGCCTTTTGTGTGGTCGCACTCCCTCTAAGATTAATTGTAAATAATAAAAGAAGCATGGAGCATAAAATCTCACGTTTTTATGCATACTACTAAAGAGAACTGCCAAATTTTGGTTATATTTAGTTGGAAATTCTTATGAGTTTGTAAAATTAACTGACTAGCAAATAACTTTAGAGGACAGGCTCATAAGTTTTGTGTTGTGCTTATGTACATAAGCACTCCTGTCCAACGAGCTATTCGGACTCTAGTACAAACTCTGGAGGAGCATCCAGAGATCACAGAAAGAATAAGGTTGAGCGTGGCATCCATAGGTACACTTTTTAGCCTATCCATTAGTAGCAACTATTTTAACTTTGATGGTAAGTTATAGGAACAAACGCGAGGACTTGTGATCCTATCTTGGCGAACAATTATATCGCAAGACTTGAGCAGCATTTCATGGAATAGGCAATACTAATACCTAAATTGTTGGTTAGATATATGGATGGTTATTTTGACATCTGGTCTCATGGTAAGAAAAGTTTAGACAGTTTCCTAGTTTCACCTAACCAGCGTGAAAGGAACATTTGGTTCACAATGAAAATGGAAGAGAATAAGTATTTATCCTTTTTGGATGTTAGCATAATAGAAGAGGGTAAGTTAGGAAGAGATGTTTATAGGAAGCCAATATAAGTTGACTAATTTTTTGATTTTCTTTCAAACCATAGTTACAAAACTAAGGTTGGAATTTTGAAGTCAATGATTATTAGGAGTATGAGGCTAGTGGATACTAACCATTTGACAAAAGGTTTGAAACAACTGATACATTTGGTCTTGGAAAATAATTATCCTTTGGGCCTAGCTGAGAATATTATCTCTTTACTGAAGGACAACATTTAAGACAGAGACTATTTAGTCAAAGATAGACTAGCTGATATCTTTTCTCATTTTCTAATTTTGCCGTCATGCCTCCTTTCTAATAAGATAGGCGAATTAGTGAGTGGGGGATAAAAATAGTATTTAAAGAAATCCTCACACTTTCTTCTGTTATGCCATCTTTTATAGAGAAATATGACCCATTATCGAGATCCGGTATCCACAAGATTGTGTGCTGTGGTCGACGTTATGTTGGTGAGACATGACGGCCTATTCGACAAAGATTGGGGAAACACAAAAATG